CCCCCAGCCTTGCAAAACTTGGCCTTAGCAGCAAGTCCTGGTTTGGGGTCCAAATTTTCCTCCCCAGTTGCCCCAGATTTATTTTAAATCCACAGAGGATTTCCCACGGGCCCCCAGTGCTTCCCCCGACGGACGGCCGCCAGCAGCGAGGACGTCCGGGAAGGACCAGTCCCTTGCTTTTTTTCCCCTCGTTTTTCTGCCACAGCATCAAATAACTCGGGGGGTGAGCCGGTGCCGTGGGCCTCCTTCAACTCATCGCCTTGGGTCACTGTTATCAGTTTAACCCCCTTCCTTTTTTCAGGTGGTCGCAATTATAAACCAATAAATTCCTCACCCTGCGTTTAACCAAGGCCTGTAATTTGTATGCATATATACAATTTATCGGCAGCTTTCATTGTCTGTCTTGCGGGGCAGAAGGCGTGTTAATAGTCTCCCTACCTGCAGCTGATAGTTATGATCCCAATATATGCGATTTTTTTTTTTGCACTACAATTTCCCTCAATTTCAAAACATAACGTGTTAGCGGTGGTTAAAATGCAGCAATGCAATGGGAAAATAATAATAATAATAATCGTGGGCTGTGCTGAATGAGTGCTTTAAGGCTGATGGAGCCCAAAGTGCTTTGCAAAACGGGCATTACCAGGGCTGAGCTGCTGTGCCGTAATACGGGGAGGGTACGGCAGCATCGTGCCGTGCCGTGGGTTGTCTCTTGCCGAGCCCGGCACCCAGATGAGCTGCAGGAGGGTTTCGAGCAGCCGGGGAAGTCCTCATCCTGGAAGTTGGCCGGGATGGGGCTCAGCTCACCCAGGAGTTCGTGCGGAGCTGGAGATGAGGGGGAATATCCGTGCCCTGAGCGCTGGCAGCTCGTTGCCCCGCGGCTGCGAGCAGACACCTGGACCGGCTGCATGGGCTGGAGATGGATAAATTCAGGCTGGAAACAAAGCAGCTCTTCAAGGCTGAGGCAGACGTGGAGGTTCAGCTCAAGCGAGCAGCGGCGGTGGGTGCAGGTCTCCGCCCTGGCTTTGCCCAGTGCCCGTGTCCCCACGGCCGTGGGCAATCCCGCGTGTCTCCCGTGGCATCACACACTTCCCAGCGGGGAGCAGCTGCCTCGGCAGAGCCGCCG